AGGAGCAACTAGTGATCCATTTGTCACGGGATGGATTCACTAGAGATCGATTTGTCACGGGATCGATCTTCCCACTCAGTCTCTAGTGGCTGCCTAGTCTCTCCCTCAAACCGGAGTTTGAGCGGCTTAATCACAACCAACCTAGATGCAAACTTGAATCAAGAGGGTTGCTCATCTCTATCCTAGATAGTAGACACAAAGAGACCAAAAAAACCAAGCTTGTCAAGCCTACCTAAAAAGGTGTGGTTTTCCTCTAATCTAGGTTAGGCAAGCACACAATATTTGGAAAGCACAACTAAGCACAATCACCATGAAAGCACCTCTAATACTCAAATTGGTGCAAACCCATACAAAGTCATTCAATCTAAACAAGTAATTACAAAGTATTAGTTAGGGATCTTCAACACCCAAAACATAAGAGTGAGTTTCTAGAGAGAGAGAGAGAGAGAAAGAGAGAGGGGGGGATTACAAATTTGAGCTCAAGATCTTCTTCTTCTTCTTCTTCTTCTTCTTCTTTTTCTAGGCTTGGGTCCTTGTCCACACAAGCCTTCAATGATGCTCTAAGATCACTCTAGCACTCTCTCTCTCTCTCTCTCTCTCTCTCTCTCTCTCTCTCTCTCTCTCTCTCTCTCTCTCTCTTTCTAACACACACACACACACACACACACTAGAACTCCCCTTTGGTGTTTTTGGGCAAACCCTAGAAAGGGAATTGAATTTCTCAGTGTCATCCAAAACGCACCGCTTCACTCTTCTGGGTTCACGGTCAATGACCCTAGTTCATGGTCTTAGTGACTGTGAACTGCCTTGTCGTCAGTAACTTCTGGAACCTCGCTAGACCCCTCAATGTTCACAGTTTGTGGTCCAAGTTCACGGTCTTAGGAGACCGTGAACTGCGGTTGTTTCCTGGACGCCTTCACTTTATTGCTACGAGGCAATTGTCACGGTCGCTTCGGACTTTTCTTCGGTTTTTGCGCTTTCTGACCTCCAATCATCCCAAAATTCGGCCTCGACCATTCCACACGTGCTATGACCTGAAATGTATCAAAACAAGCACAACCTAGCATGAAATATGTCGAGGAACGATGAAATACTAGGCTAAACGAATAAGAAATGAGGGATAAAATGTGTACATTTGGGTCCGAATCACCCCCTCTTCAAAAAGCATTTCCCTCAAAGCTTTGGCCTTCCTTTGCTTGAAAAATTCATAGAATTGATCCCAAATTAGATCGAAAGTAGGCTGCACAAACTACCTTTCTTGCAAAATTAGGTCAGAAGTGTTCTTCATTGGAGAAACTGGGCTTTCTGATTGAAGGATTCCCAACTTAATTCAAGGCATCCACGGGCTTCGCCATTCTTCCAATTGACTTTTTGATCCTGTCTCCATCCTTGAATCGTACTTATTAGTGTCAAATCGTCAAGGTTATCTTTCCCAGCATCGCGAAAATTCGAACTTGGGAAACCCAGAAATTCCAATATGAAATTGGGAGTTTTCGATCCAAACATCTCTAGGCTAATTCGCTTGATCCTAGAACATCATGGGACCTCCCTTGATGATTTTGCATCAGGCACTTGTGTCGAATCGACCTAGTATGCTCCAACCCATTCACTCAATTTTTTCTGGAGTGTGTCGGCATCGTTGGTTTGGCTCGACCCTTGCACCATAGTTCCCCCCAATTAACTCTCTCTCCTGTTATGCTCCGGTGAGGTTACACAAGGGAACTTAGTTCTTCAACGATGGTTTCTTAGCTTCTAATACTCATGTAGCATAAACCGTCGAACCATAAAATTAGCTCCACTGAGTTCCTTGAGACAGGTTTGACTGGATTCAGCTTGTTGTTGACGTCGACTCGCCTCCAATTGTTGTTGATCGGCACAGAATTCTTCCGACGACAAAGGCTTCAACAAGATTTTTCGACCGTCGTGTTTTACCTTGTAGTAGTTGGTGCCACCGTAATGACACTCTCCTCGCTCGAATTGCCACGGGCATCCTAGCAACAAATGATTACCTACATTAGAGCAATATCAAAGAGAAGCTCGTCTTTGTATTCACCAATTTTAAACTGAATGTGAGCTTGTTTGTTGAGTTTGATCGCCTCGTAGTCATTGAGCCAGTGGCGGTTGTAGGGCTCGGGGTGCTTACTGGTTTGCAGCCCAAGTTTCTTCACCACTTCCTGGCTAATGACATTGGCACAACTACCCCATCCACAATCACGGAGAGCAATTTGCCATTCACCAGACAGATATTACCAGACGATTGGCGTCACAAAACGCCTTTTCTCGTCACTAAAAGTTTTTTCTGACGAAATACGATCGCTAGCGGGTCGTGGGGTAAATGTCTGTGGGTAATAGTCGAAAAAAATTGACGTCATAAAAATATTTTTTGTGAGGATAAATTATCCTCAAAACCCAATTTATCGTTGTCAGAAAAGAAATACCCTTGAGGAAAAAACTTGACCAAAAGTATTTGTGAGAGAGGAAAAACTATTTCTAAGGAAATTATTTTGTCAGATTAAGTATTTGTGAGAATATTTTTTTGTTAATAACACTTTGTAATTTCCATCCCCAAAATACCCTTATGTGTTTTTGTGATGACTTGTTTATTGTCAAAAAAGGTTGTATAATTAGGCAAAAAATTCTCAAAATACCCTTTTGTTATTTTTGACGAGCAAAAGTCCTCATGAATGGAGAACTCCTCAGAATGAAATTATTACCGACGTAATGATTTCGTCAGAACACTAGAAAATACATTTAATACCTGTAAACGTAATTATTGTCTATGCATTTCCCAACAACAAAATAAATAATCATAATTAAAAACACCAAAAAAATATTATTCAATGACATTTTCTTTAATATCAATGACAATTATTCTTCACAACTTACTATATATATTTATTATAAAATCACTGTAACACCCTCAGTATTTTATATTGGGGTTCGACCATAAATAATGATAGGTTGGACTGGCGGTTACGTATTAAGAGTTGCAACCGCGGATTAGAAATAATAATAATAATAATAATAGAAACACTCGGCTTCACCTGGGCAAAACTAAACCTAAAACTACATCCGCCTCTCACCCCAACCTTTTTAATCATATCTACGTCCAGAGCAGGCCATCGAACTAGAGGTGGCAATTATCAATCCAATCCACCAATCCAATCCACCAACCCATTAAAAATATCCACCTAATCCAATTCATTTAAATCCAATCCATTTGATCCAAATCCAATTGGATTGGTGGTTTCATGGATTGAACCATGGATCCAAATGACAAATTACGGTTTGGTACCTATATTTTTTATATTTTATATTTTGGTACCCAAAATTTAAATTTTTATACGAAAAATATCATTGGAAAATTACGTTTTGGTACCTAAATTTTTTCATTATGACATTTTAGTACCTAAACTTTTCACATTTTACATATTGGTCCTTGATTGAGGATGTCCTTTGGATTCATGGATAATCCACCATCCACTTGATCAAATCCATGAATCCACCAATCAATTGGATCCAATCCATTTGATCCATGAATCCACCAACCTAATCCACCAATCCATGGATCAATCCATTTGCCACCTCTACATCGAACTGAAAGAAAAAGTAGTGTTGCGGAAGAGCCAGCAGTCGACGGTGATGGGTGATTCCAACAATTAGCGGTCAATCGGGGAACAATTATATGGAGGTAAGGCTCGACTTCTTTTCTTGGAACTTCGGTCGGTGATGTTTGGATGGTAGTAGTTTCACGTATGGAAAGATGGGTTAAGAAGGATAACTTTTATCAAGGGCGGACCCATGTGTTAGAGAGGCCTGAATATTTTGTGAGAGACTCATGTTTTATCGGTATAAATTTTTGAAATTTAGGACTTTCGACATACCTTCAATAATTGTAATCGACACACCTTCAATACACTACGATGAAATTGACCCTCCCATTAGTTCTTATATATGCCCTCATGGATTTAAGAAAAGGTCCTTTCAAGCCATCTTTATCTCCCCCCGTCCGGTACAAGGGCTCAATTCAATATGATATAGGACAGGCCTTCTTTCCGCATGTCATAAAGTTCTCAAAATACATAAATATATATGATTTGTTTTATATTTTAGATAACTTACGACAAATTTGGGGGTCTTTCCAATTCTTAAGCATTTAGACGCAATGGTTTATTGCTCTTAGGTCTTAGGAATGGATAATCGTAAGGAAGTTTTCTCCTTTTTCACTCTACCGGAATAAATTTTGTTTCGTCTTGTTTCTTCTTGATTCTTGTCCATCTAGTGGCAAAAAATGTTCTTTCATCGGGAATCTAGTTACGTATGGACTATCGCTATTTATTATTGTCTATCTTATAAAAAACTGCAGTATTCCCTTTAGCTCTTTCGATCCCACCACTAGTTGTGTTTCACACTAAAATATAATTACAATTTATTTATTATTTTGTTTAATTTTATCGACCAATACACCTGTACAAGAATTCTGAGTCCGCCACTCTTTTGTAGGATTTGTAATTTCATACATGTGTGTCTTGGATCATGCTTTGGCGGAAGGTTGGTGCATTTGTGGCGCATGATTTTGATACAAGCCTTGCAAAGACAAATCATTAAGTTAGGTTGGAACCTTGTGCATGTAGGTTGAGAAATTGAGAAACGTGCGTGGTGTGGAATGGAATAACATGGAAGTTCTTCTTTTAATGAATATCATGATTATATGGGTCTGACGGTGGGGATTGGAATTAAACTAGGTCACCTGTCTATTCTGGGGCATATCAAAGTGGCTACTGGTACGGGTAGTTAGCCTAACAAGGTTGGGAGAGCTGAAGCGGAGCTATTTCAATAATGACATGGGGTTCGTGTATCGGACTGTTAATTTGAAGTCGAAGTCATCTATCAAATGGACATAAGATTTGAGCATGTTACATTGTTGTCTATGTAGCCATTTTAAGGAAAGGAGGAGTACGAAATCACATTACGAGAGATGGAAGCTTGGCATAGGGGCAATCCACCTTAATTTTTTATAGAGGTTCATCAATTAATTACGGAAGGTAGTGTAAAGGGGATAAAATCTCTGTCGTAGGCATTGTAGTTTATGCTTTTCGTTCAAGTTAATAATTAGTTAATTTTTGAATTATGCGCGATTTGTGTGTGAGGCATCCCACCGCCAACTTAAGGTGGATGCACGCATTGTGCTATGTATGTGTGTGTTGTATATAGTTAATGGTAATGGAACCCCCGGTGGGTGGGCCACTACTGGACGCAGTAGATGGTCGGATCACTGCTGGACGGCGAGACGTAACGCAACAGTTGATCGAGTATGTTGGGGTCACTACTGAACGGCGAGACGCAACGCAGTAGTTGACCGAGCATGGATCAGACGGCGAGAAGTAACGCAGTGCCATTGACGAGTTTGGGTATGCAACTGGACGGCGAGACGTAATGCGGTTGGCATACTAGGGTAGAACACCGGACGGCGAGACGCAACGCGGTGGTCCTAGTGTTTTGGGTTTGAATTAAGGATAGAAGTTGAAAACTTCTATGAGTTATGTCGGAATAAAGTGTGAAGGATAGAATTTGAGAACTTCTATGAGTTAATGTTGAAATAATTTGTTAAGGATGAAAGCAAGTACGACTTATATCTAAGGAAAGGAAACCCGCTAATAACGTGTTTTAGTAAGGAGGTTACTTAAAGAAAGACCTTAGGAAGTAACGACGGTCTGACCCCTTCTTACTCACCAGGTTGAGGAAGGGTTAACGAATGAGGATTTCGAGAAGCCGCACTAGCATTGGCAAGGTCGAAGGGAGCTTAGCGAGGAGCTAGAGTTAGATTTAGTTAGTTGTCTTATGTATCATGATTATGAGTATAAACTGGAGGTTCAAGGTTCGAGATTTGTGGGTCAAGTGTTTTGGGATTTTTATTGACCAAGTGTTGGGGCTTTTTGTTTGAAATTCTTAAACATTCTCAGTTTGTTTATTTTAAAAAGTGGTTTGGTTGCTCCGGAGTAACCGGTTTTCAGTTTGAGTTATGGTTTGGTTTTTGAAAAAGAGCGGGTCGTTCCAATCACAATACATTATTAATAAAAAATATTAATTAAAAAATAAAACAACTAATCTTTGTCGCTTCCTCTCGCACCCACGGCCGTCACCGTCACCATTGTCAGGCGGGTGTCAGGCGTCGTCACTCCTTAGCGCTTTCGTCGCCTTTATTTCCTTCCTTTCTCCTCATCATAACCAGGGAGAAGGAGAAACAGGGAAGAAAATATGGAGAAGAGAGGAATGGCAACCGATTGGGAAGCAGAGACGCGAGGGAAATGCCAAATCTGACCACCGCGTCGCCAAATCGCTCCATAGTCGTCGTTGGATTTCTCCGTCTCGGATCTCGCCGCCTCTCTATTTATCCATCATCGTAGTCGCATCTCACAGCCTCGACAACAAATCTCTCTTCCTTATTAATCGAATCTCTCCTGCTCGTCGCCAGATCTCGGCTGCTCTCGACCTCTCAATAGTTTCGCCATAGTCACCGGATGTTGTCACCTATCGAGTGACCATCAGCTAGTGGGAACGGAAGGTAGAAGGACTTCTAATTTCTCATTTTGGGTGAGGATGTTGGTCATCTTTTTGGGAAGAACAAAGAAAGGGGACATTTTTTTGGGGAAGAACTAATAAGGAAGGAGATGAAACAAGGAAAGTTGAGATAGAGAGAGGAATGAAGATGGAATGAGAGAAAAGGAAAGAAAGTGTAAAGAAAGAATAAACGTTCTGGAGAGTAAGAAGAAAGAATGAGTTGGGGAATCCTTCAAATAATATATGGTGGCTCTTCACAAGAACCCACTCAATTATTGCGTATGCGCAGAGGTAGGCAGGAGTTTCTGGTCTTTTGGGTTTTATATTTTAAATTCAGGATTTGAGTTTTATTTTGTATGTATATTCGTGGGGTTTATATTCCAAATTCAGGATTTGGGTTTCTTTTCTTTGTGGGATTGAATCCTTTGATTTCCAACAAAGCCGAATATATAAAAGGAAAGATAATTATAATTAGAGTTATAGGTATAATGTACCCCTTTACGAAATCTTTTTATTAAATATGCTTCTCAACAATTTTATATATCAACTATGCCATTGTATTTTGAAAAAGATCAAATATGTCATTATAAAAAAAAATCATCCAAAAACTGTTAACCACGACCAAATTTTGGTTTGGGCAACACAGATGTCTAAAATATCCATAATAATTTCACTTTAGAATTTGTTGGTTCTTTGGTATAACCAAATAATTCTAATAATTTCACTTTGATAAGTTCCATGGAAATAAAATAGGGGTCAAACTGACATTTTCCCTCTCATTGTCGATGTCGGGTTGTCTAAACTCGGTTCAACGATGATTGAAGAGTTTTTCAATTGAAATTTCAACAGAATGGCATGTTTGATAATTTTTCAAAGCACAGCGACATGTATGATGTAAAAAATAGTAGAGTGGCATGTTTCATGAAACGTAATAGTAGAGCTGCATATTATACCTATTAACCCTTATAATTACACGGCACTGAGAAGCGGGCTTGAGCATATATCTAACATTTATGGTCAAATTCAACTTGTACATATACCTTACGATACAAGTTCAAAATAATTGTTACACGAACTATATTATACAAATTGTACTTGATTTGAGTTATGAGTCAATACAGTTATATGGATCAATGAAGTCAAAAAGTCGCACTTGATTAAGTTAAAAAGCAGCGACAATATTTTCATTTTGGTCATCATTCAGGGTTTAGGGTACAGGGTTTAGTATTTTATAGGGTCCAGGATTCGGGTTTAGAGTTTGAAGTTTAGTTAAAAAAATTAATTAAGTAATTGGAAGCAATTTAGAGAATTGAAACCATGTCTTCTTGACCAAAACTAACGTACTAACCAATTAGTCTGATGAACTTTCGTGTAAATTGTTGTAGGCCAATTAGTTTTATTACTTTACAGATGGTGTCTAAAATTAAAGAACAAAGCCATAATCTTCTTCTAATTGAAGACCACTGGCTGTTATCGTTTCATCTGCCCATACAGAACCCTTGTCCATTTGTTTTTCATTTTCATTTGATATGCATACAATGGGGAATTGAATCATCTAAAAATATATATATATTCCCGACGGAAGAAAGGGAATGAATTTGCATAGAAGGCAGAGAGCTCTCTGTTGCTTATAGATTTTTGTTAGGAATAAATACTCAAAGAAACATGAATTTAACCTAAAATGTAATCAGTCTAACTGGTATGGACTTTGATTGGTGAACAAGAGATCCATGGTTTGAGTACATCCATGACCTTTTCTTTGAGGTTATTTTTAATTTCAACTTTTAAAACTAAGAATTTGTTCATATGCAACGAAATTTTTCTGACAAGTGAAATTTGTCAATAATGTTCTATATGTGACGACATTGTTTGCATATTATTGACGACATATAAATTCTTCACAGAAAGTGTTTTCCTAACAAAGTTTTTTCAGCGAAATAATCACTTGTGATTAGGGATGGCAATGGGGCGGTTTTGTCTAAACCATCCCCATCTCCATCTTCAAATATTCAAACCCATACCCGCCTCATATCCAGGTTATTTTTAATTTCAACTCTTAAAACTAAGAATTTGTTCATATGTAACGAAATTTTTCTGACAAGCGAAATTTGTCAATAATGTTCTATATGTGACGACATTGTTTGCATATTATTGACGACATATAAATTCTTCACAGAAAGTGTTTTCCTAACGAAAATTTTTCAACGAAATAATCACTTGTGATTAGGGATGGCAATGGGGCGGGTTTGAGGCGGGTTTGTCTAAACCATCCTCATCCCCATCTTCAAATATTCAAACCCATACCTGCCCCATATCCATGCAGGGGAATGTTTGACAAATCCATCCCCATACCCGTGGGTTTCGGATACCCATGGGTAATACCCGTACCCGTACATCCAACATTATTATCCTAAAATTTACAAGAAAAGTTTTAACTACAACTCTAATCGTACCTATTATATCATGAATTTAACAAAACACGATCATTTCTTAATACGGTTAAAAGAATATGATCCTAAAACATTCGTTAATACATAATATAGAGTATAATATTTTTCAAATTATTATGTTCTAACTTTGATACTTTACTAAGTTATAATTAACTAACATAATCTTGTTGACAAGGGGGAAAGTGAAAGAGTGAAAGGAGAATTGAGGGAACTGAATTAGGTTTTGATTAACGTGGTCACTCAATTGCATTTCTACTATTTATTTCCTTGAGTTATTGATAGACCGTCATTTACACATGTTTTTACCCCCATTCTTACACCGTTTGAGGTGTTGATTCTCGTGTTTTAGGCCGATTTCACGCTAGGTTGTGCTTGTTTGTGATGTTTCAGGTCCTAGTACGTGAATGAAGGCTTAGGAGCGAGTCTGGGGTCGATTGGACGAAGAACGGACGAATGGCGAGGTTTTTGGGGAGCTGCACGGGCAGACCAGGGAGGCTGCACGGCCGTGCACGGTTGCAAGCTGGCCGTGCGCCTCATGCCGAGGAGATGCACGGGCAGGCCCTGAAGATTGCACGGCCGTGCACCTGGCCGTGCAAGAAGCCTGAGTTCGACTAAAGGGATACGCTGCGTTTCATGGTGCACGGCCAGAATGGTGAGGTGCACGGCCGTGCACCCTGGCCGTGCAACTCGGGAAACCCGGTTTTAAAGCCTAATCCGAGCCAGAAGTGAGAGAACAGTGTTTTCAGAGCAAAAACAGAGCCCTAGAGAGAGAAAGTACGAAGAACACATCCTAGAAGCTGTCTTAGAGCTGGATTTCATCGAATCGAGCCTGGAGATCGTCATAGGAGTGAAAATCATCGTCCCGGAGCAGATTATCCTCATCGTTATGAGTATGACTAATCCAATTCTTGTTTTCTCTTCTCTCTCTATGGAGTAGAACCCTTCTCTCACTTGGGGATGAAGAACCCTAGTTCTATGTGTTAGGGATTGATTGTAATGACTTGGGATGATATTACTGTTTGGTTTTAATCGATTGAGACATGCTTTATTGAGTCAATTGAATCTTGATCAAATTCTCTTGATTTCTGCTTTAACCTATGATAGATAGAATCTGATTAGGTTAAGAGAGCTTCCTTGATTGATAGTGGTGAATTGGTTGTGCGAGAGTCAATCAATTTACTGCTTTGTACTGGAATCTAATTCCAGTAGTGAATTTCTGTTCTTACTGCTTCAGCTTTCTATCCCGGTGAAGACTAGTCGTCTGCCGGGTAGTTAGACTGAGAGGGCTTGGTCAGCTTAAGAGATTCCAAGCTACTGCCGGATCTTCCGCAGTCTAATCAACAGTAAATCAACCCAGGGTAAATTGCAATTGAAACCTAACTAAAGAGCTAGGGGGATTCATTCCCGAGTGACTCTTTCCTGCTTAAGAAAACCGAATAATTTCCTACTTTATTTCTGCTTTTAGTTTAAACAACAATCACTTACTCTAGTTGGCTAGATAACAGAGAATCACTGAGTAAGCAGTAGATCTAGAGCCCGGGTTGATAATATAACTTGCCTGTTACTGCATTCCCGGTCTGCGATTACACTTGGTCGCAGATTGGTGTTGTGTTTTGGCGTGTCAAGTTTTTGGCGCCGTTGCCGGGGACCCTCTAGGTTATTGGGGAAACGTGAGAATTTGTTACTCTAGCTTTTATTTTCTGCTTTTTATTTCTTCCACCTGTGTGCCTTCACGGGTTGTTTCTGCTGATTGTGTGCAGGTAGTGCATGACCCGTAGCCAGTCGGGAGATCTACTACCACTAGACCAGGAGCTTGAACGAACCTGCAGAAACTTCAAGCGGGCTCTAAAGGCGCTACTGGCTGCGGAGGAGGCGCTATCACAGCTGCAGTTAGAGGAGGAAGAAGAAGAGATGGCTGAACCAGGGAACCATGCTGTGATCCCCGAGGAGCAGACCATGGGCTCCTACTGGACCGCTAGGGCTGCGGACATGAGGTCACCCATTCAGCACCCTCAGGTCCCAGCCAACAACTTTGAGGTGAGCACCTCCGTGATCACCATGCTGCGCGGTTCAGTAGTGTTCCGTGGTAAGGAGGGAGAATGCCCTCGATCACATCTCAGGCGATTCCACGAGCTCATCGATGGAATCAAGATCAATGGGGTACCAGCAGATGCCATCCAGCTGAGGTACTTCCCATTCACTCTGGAGGGGCAGGCCAAGGAGTGGCTAGACACTCGATCTCCGGGCTCCATCACCACGTTCGCCAACCTGGCGGACAAGTTCCTCACCCGCTACCATCCTCCATCCAAGACAGCTGACCTGCAGAAGCAAATTACACATTTTGTTCAGGATGAGGATGAGACCATCAGGGATGCATGGGAGAGGTACAACAGTCTTTTCCTCAGGTGTCCCAATCATGGTTTCAACGATGCGTTCAAGGTGGGCACCTTCTATCACGCCCTCTTCCCGGAGGACAAGCAGCTGATCGATTCGGTTTGTGGCGGGAACATGCTGACCAAAACCCCGCCACAGCTGAATCAACTCTTTGAAGAGATGGCGGAGAATGGTTATGATTGGGGCACTGCCAGGAGATCGAGGAGAGCACCAGGCCGGGGTGTGCATGCTGTGGGCACCCAGTCATCTGATTTGGTGCAGGTAGTATCGAAGCTGGTCTCAGCTATCGATCGTTCCGGGATGATTCCAGGGACCGGACAGCAGCAGGCGATGCTCTGCCAGTGGTGCGAGAGCACCCATCATATGGTGGAAGACTGCCAGGCGATGAAGGAATCGACCACGCCCCAGGAGCAGGTGAACTTCATCAACAATGTCAGGCGCAATGACCCCT